TCCGCCTTCCTCTTGTGCGCTTTCATAGCGTTGGCCGCCTTTTTTACCGCTGCTCTTGCCCTATCGGCGGCTTTCTTTAACGCTTTCTGAAGTCGGATCGCGTGAGGCACCGTCTTGGTTTCCCGACAGCGAAGGTCATCGGGGGGGTGCTTAGGATCCCCACCATTGTTAAGGAATTCCACCCACTCGAGGAGCTTGTCCCTCGCGTCGATCAGGTTTCGCAACCTCTCTGGGCAGGTATCCGGACAGCTCCGGTGGCCCAGGCAAGGATGACCAAAACCAGGTGTGCCTGGGGTGTCGCCACATTCACATCGCTCTTTGCCCTCACAATCCTGCCTAGCCAGATTGTCGCAATGAAGCTCGATGACCAAGTGTGAGGGGCGGACGCAGTGGCTGTGACCACATAAATGGGATACATCCCATCTCAGGTAGCCGGCGCGAGCGTGTTTCGTGGTACAATATGGCAAGTAATCCCCATACCCGGCTAAAATCATCGCAAGCGCAGTGCAGTATACGAGTACGGCTTCGATCATTTCACCCTTTTCGGGATGAGTGTACTAGTAGAAACGCAAACTTAGTATGTTTTCAATCATAGATGCAACGGGTGTGTAGTACTTACCTCAACCTTCGGAACCCTGTGCCTGAGCACAGCATTTGCCTGTAGTCCGAACGGAAACCCGCCGCAAGCCGTTCCATCCTGAACCCAACATCCGTCATCTATCTCGCGGACGAGTGTGAAGAACAAGTCCCAAATTACCTCCAGGATCCATTCGCCCGTCTCGCTGTCCATAGCAAACTGCTTCATAGCCGCGATCTGTGGGGAGTCTTCTTCTGGCAGCTCCGGGAGGTGGTGTTTATACGTCTCAAGATCGATCCTCGGTCGTTGTTGGAGAATGGACTCTTCCTTGAGGCGGTCAATCCTCTCGGATTTCCCATGAAAGGTAATGTTGTTAAGTTTAGACAACGTTAACAGTCTTTCCAGATATGGATGCTTGTGCTCCACCCGCCGTGAGACCGAGTATGCGAGGTCCTTGACATTCTCAAGCACATCATCAGGTGAGATCCCTAATTTGAGCAGGGGAGGGGTGGTTGGGGTGTAAAGGTTGGGATCGCTGGAGCCAGCGGGCAAATGCCGGTCCTTGATGTTCCCTTTGGGGCCTGTACGCTTGCGAGGGAGCTCGGGGGAAGTCACGATGCCGGGCATGGTTGGCTTGTTTGGCAATGAGATTGAAGTTGGAGTGATGTAGTGATGTAGTGATGTAGTGATGATACAAGAAAATATGAATCAAGAGAGAACTGGCTTTCATGGCCCGTACGTCGCCGGATACGCCTTATATATCATGGCTGCTTACACAACGCATCACACCGCCATGCTAATATCGACCCTTCAGGAACTTACCGTGCGTCGGACTGTGATAGCCAAGCCACACAGGTTCCAGCACTGCAGCATTGGCAGGGGACGGGATGTTCTCGGCTAGCAAGTCTCTCCTGAAGCTATCCGTGCTCGGGCTACTGCCTGGAGGCAACATGCAATTGGCTTCAACATTCAGTAAGGGATTGCCTTCGGTGCGGGTGCGAACGATATTGATTCTAATGCAGAGTAGATCAACAACAAGGTAACAATACATGCGGTGTTTCAGACATATCAGTGGCGTGCGTGCCTGCCTCCACTACTCCACTATCTCTGCATAGTCGCACTTGTCAGGCCGGTGGCCATCTCGCTTCAACTGCCGCTCCACCTCCTTCAAACGCTCCGGGCAGAACTCAGGACATTCCTCGTGGCCGAAGCATTTCTGGCCGCGTCCGCGTGCATGGGTACAGCCATGGCCAGAGCATCGCGATCGTCGCAAGTTGACTTGATGTGAGTCGAGCACCAGGTGGGACGGCCGATAACAATGCGAGTGACCGCAAAGATGTGACACTTCGAACTGCTGGGGCACATCTCCCACTATCGTCGTGAACTTGAGCGCCCACCTAAAGCCCATGACATTCATAGCAAGGTGGGTGTATGCTACCTCGCCTTCCAGCTTCTCGTTGAGACATTTGCGATCGACATGGTATACGCGGTAAGCGTTGGCAGCACTCCCGAACGGGCGTTCCAAAGTCGACGTTCCTTTCGCAACCCAACACCCTTTAGGACCCACAACTTCAGTATCTCGCGTAAGCACTTCCCAGCACTCTGGGTCTCTAATGCGCCTCGAGATCCTGAACCTTGGCGAGCCGAGTCGGTACTTGTGCTTGGTCACCAGGCCCTGGTATCGCTTCTGATTCTTTTGCTTTTGTGGCGCTATGATTCGCTCCTCCAGCAATCGGTTGGGCATGACGGTGGCCTTTTGTGGAATACGGACATGGAGCATGCGCTGTACATGGAGTGCAGGGGTGTTGTGGACTATTGGCACGTTGTCTACGGCGGGAGAATGCACCTGTGGTACATCGCGTCGGCTACCATGACTTTGGGCTGAATCTTTGACAGGTTGAGAAGCCAAGCTGTGTCGTGCATGGCTGTTTGGGATTGGACTTGATCCAGATCCAGATCCGGATCTGGTGGTTGGTGCCATTGTCTGCAGGCAAACCTTGAAATATTGATTGAAAGTAAGAGACGTAAATGGAAAGGCAATGAGAGCCTGCCTTTGCTGTATACTGTTGGCATCAGGATATATACGCAAAGTCAACTCTCCAAATATCATATGGCTGGAGGAGAGGGTACGAGAAGACAGGTATCATCAGCATTTCAGAACTGGTTGCGAGTTGTAGCATGATGCATGGTAACTCAAGACCGCGATGACTTTGGCGCCGCCGAATGAGATGTTCGAAAGCGAGATGCACTCGGGATGGGGCGCTGTGGAGCATCTCGAGACGCAGTTCACGAAAAGACTGATAGCCAGCGGGCAACGCACTGGGAGTTGGTGACCCACCAGCTCGTGGGCAGCCTTGGAAATTACCACTACGATCGGCTGCTGGCTCTTCTCGTTTGTCCGGCACCAGTCGCCGTCCTTCTCCGTCTACATGGCCTGATGTGGCACAGGCGTGGTATTGCAGCACCTGCAAGCGACAGATCGTGTTCGGCGACAGTGACAATGTTCCGTCGCTAATCCTTGCACGCCCGACAAGACAATCGTCTCACCATGTCTCGTCGAGGCTGATACTCCAGGTCGCAAACATCTTACCACCTGGGCAAGCTGGAATGCGCTCACTACCGCTTTGGCTGCGCGTGGAATCCATGGGTGTAGTTGAGCTCCAGATCAGCAGTGTCAAGACAGTCAAGTGGCTTCTTTCCTCGCTCGATGGAGTTGGCATTCCTAAACGCGCACCGCACCGTCGAGTTCATCTCCGCGTCTCCAAATTGCTGACGCCCAAACCGTTAGCGCTTCGCGTGGAGGCCGAGGTTCTTGCGCGCCAAGTCATGGCACGTTCCGCAGCCTGCAGGTAGGCCGCAGATCCTCCTGCACCGTTGAACGGAACTAACAGCTGGCCGGGAAGTGAAACCTACGCTATGCTCGAACCCGCAGCCGTTTGTTCAACTCGGCGCATAATCGGCTAGGCTGGCGTCCTACTCGAGCCTCGCAATACTTATCCGTGGTGAGTGACGAGACGTCATAAGAGGTGCCGTTCATCCGTGTGGGCCTGGCACTCGTTTTTGGCCACTGTCAGTACAGTTCTCCCCTCTGGTTCGGGTGCCTAGCGTCTATGGGGTGTACGGATCTTACAAAGAGAGTCCGAACAACACCAGGCACCCTGACTTGGGGGGGGGGGGGGGGGGGGGGGGGGGGGGGGCGGGGNNCGACCCCCCCCCCCCCCCCCCCCCCCCCCCCCCCCCCCCCCCCCCCCCCCCCCCCCCCCCCCCCCCCCCCCCCCCCCCCCCCCCCCCCCTGTACGCAGCTGTCAAACTCATAGGGGTAAAGGCAGAGCAGCCCGTGCGACCCCTGCCTGATAGGACGTGCGGAAGTGCAAATGAAGGATGAGTACATAGGAGTACATTGCACAACTGGAAGCTTGCATGTAGTGATATGACGCATCGCGCGATATGTCAGCATGGTAATTTCCTTGCTCGCGAAAGCGGAGCGAGCGTGCACCGTGTTTCTGCTTTGGCGCGCAATGGTGCCAACAGGCGCCCACCTGGGCAGGCGATGACATAGGCCCTCCTCACGTGAGTCAAGCACTACGGACCAAAAGCCCTAAACAGAAACCCGGAGGTGACATGATATCGGACCCATCGAGCCAGTCACATCTTGGACATTGAATCCACAGCTTGAGTGATCTTCTGGTAGGACGGGTCGATGTCGAGGAGGCTTTCGACGACGCGAGTGCACTTTGCTCGGCGGGCTACCTCAACCATCGACGTGACCACCCCTTCCCGCCCTGTGTCTGAAGCGGCCTCGCTTGAAAGAACCGGGCGCGTGCTGCGTTGCGAATGCCTTGATAACACGACATTGCCGCGTCTGAACAGGCAGTCTCGCTGATTTTGGCTTGCGAAGACTGGAACAAAGAAATAATGGAGACACTCAGGCACAGTGGCAGTAGATGCTGGTGTTCATTGGAGACGAGCGTGAAATCAACAAGGCGAGACGCTGTTATTCAGCAAACAAGCAAACAAATCGATCGGCTGCACGTGTGGAGACGCACATATTCATCATCCATCAATCGCATGCGTGGGCAACTTCGGCATAATTCCCAGCATATTATTCAGTAAGAAATGCACTGCGGGGTCGGAGTTGTGTGTCGACGCCAGGAGCCAAATGAGATGAGCTCATCATCAAAATACTACCATTTGGTAAAGTTGCGCAGACCACGTCCTCGAGGACAAAGGCCAATGTCAGAATATGCAGGTAGTTCCGGGCTCAGATATGTCGTGTCATGAGGAAAGCCATGAGTCTACTATCAAGATAGACGCGGTTGCCTCTGGCTGAGAACACCACTAGTACATAGCCAGACAATGTCATAGCCCGTTTTCATGGCAAAGATATCTTGAAGACATCCATACCCCCTGATAGTAACAAAACTCATCCCAACTGGCTCTCGGCGATCGACACGAACACGCCTTCTATTTCACCCATTTTGAGTGTCGCAAAGGGATTCGAATCGCTTGACCTGCGCTTGACTCCCGCAACGACGTTCTTCGCGACAAGCCCAGACGGTGGAGTAAGCGCCCGGGGTCGGTAAGAACTGCCATTCTTCATGAAGTCGGCATGCTCGATGGCTGCCGCCTCTTCCGCTGTCATCTGCTCGCCGGCAACGTCATCGTCTTCAGCTTCGTCTGGAATACGGACAGGCTTCCGTGCGTCGTACATTTCGCCGTCTGGGGTGTGTAACAGAAACTTGGTCTGCTTGGCTTTCCCTTCTTCGAGACGCTTGTGCAATTTGTCGACCCGCTGTCTTTCAGCCTTCCTCTCCGTCTTCGTTTTGGGGTTTTCGATTCTCTTGCCCTTTGCCACTACGCTTTTCACTGTCCTGACCCTCTGCCGGGGCTGCCAGTCATGCGAGTCCTTGGCCTTCAGCGCTTGATAGTCGGCCTTGACGTCGTCGGGTATCTTGACCTTCCGCTGCTCGAGCAAACCCCAGAGGCGCTCGAGCATCTGGCGCGTTGCGGGCAACTCATCACGTAGTTCCTTGAGAGCATCTTCTTGAACAGATTGTGTCTGTCTGTCGACGCGGTTCTTACGAATCCCATTGCGGGCTTGTTGAAGGTCGCGCCGAAGAAAGGCGTTGATGCGACAGACGCGGTATCCTTCCGATGCGACCTCGGCTGCGTCTGCGCCACCTTGGAGACAATTTCTGATTCGCGCGATGTCGCTATTTTCTTCGAGTGCTAGCTGTGTGCCCTTCGTTTTTGATGGCCGATTCGCAGTGGCGGGGTCTTGCGGGATGGCCATGTTCGTAGGTAAGAGAGGGTTCGATTTGTAGTCGAATATATTCAGGTACGCAAATGTGTTCAGCCAACGTGCAATTGTGATTGTGGGGACATTAGATCTGGAATAGAAATTCGAAAAGTATGGAGCAATCGTTGCTTCCTTTGACCAAGATAACAAGCGCGTGCGGACTATAGTAAAGGAAGCGGGACAATTCCACGGTCACCGCGACCTTCCGCCGGTCTTTCACTTTGACGTCATGACGGCTGTATCGCCAAAACAGCAGCACCAGGCAGCAGCGAACATTTTTACGTACACCGCAACAGGTCGCCTGAGGAGGGTACAGGCCATGTCTACGGAACAATACAGCGTTCAACATAAGTTCGTCGAGCACAACACCGCCAGGCCAAGCGCCTGCATCCATCACCCCATCCGCTAATGCAGGAACCAAGAATTATGCCGGTGCTTCGGTAGTGTGCTCAGCTGACGATGCCCGGGTCCCAATTGTACGTCGCTTCTCATGTACTTCAGCTGGTTTGACCACGAAGCCAGCTCACGCATACCTGTTGCAAAGTACAGCTTGCGTAGCAGCTCTGATAGCCGCCTAATCTCGCGGGAGATGTAGTAAGATTCAGGGCCATGTTGGTCGAAACCACGCTTGTAGTGGTAGTGGATGTCCTGGTAAGCTTCCAGGACGTGGTCAAAGTAGGGAGGCGCCATCATCCCCAGCTCAAACAGACCTTCCTCTAGACTTGGCTGTAGATGGTCAGACGGGCGCGGTGAGGGGTCAGGTGGCCAGCGTGTAGCGTACAATCTTGTCATGAGAGACACAAAATTCGCAACATGGCCCTACTGCGAGCTCTGAAAATGCCCATCGAGGAACGCGCGACCTTCGAGACGATCGTCGACTGGTATAGCGGTACGGATAAGCCTCTGGGAAGAAGTCCAAGCCATGTGACCACGACGGATATGTTGGGTATGGCATTTCGCGCTCTTCTGTTGGCGATGCCCCGCACCGCGCGGTTGGCTCGGGAGGGGTGATGCGGGAACTGTGGAAAGGGAGAGATGGCCATTGATGTGCACTGGGTGTGAGGCCTTTATGCTACCAGGTTTCCCGATTGCCCACGTCGTACGCTTAGTACCAGCCCTGCTTCTTGCACCACCCGTAGGACCGTGGAGTGCCAAGAGCACCCCAATGGTACCACGCAAACGCAGTGGCAGTGGAGCGGTGGCGACCATATTCTGCGCGTCTTTACGGGATCACTAGATGTGCACCAGACATTAAACGGGGGTGATGTCGTTGGAGAGCGCGATGAGGCGCAGGGGTTCTTAGCAAACAAGTCGACAGAATCAGGGTGACACACTGAGCGCTGTCCGACCGACGCTGGATCGCTACGACAGTACATGATGGAAGACTGCCGGTCTCGCCTGGTGTGTGCTTGCCGTGAAGCCTCAGCCCGGATGGGCCTAGGTGGTGCTGAATGCGGGCGTGGCACTAGGCCAACCTTGGGGCACTTAACGCGATATCGCGTCGCGCGTGCCTGTCGCGTACCTAGGTAGCTCCTTCCATCACTGTGCTTCGCAACTTCCACAACCACGCATCACACCTTGCCGCCGCACAACACGATGGCGCCTACCGTCCTTGGAAAGAGAACGCGTAGTTCTGCACGCATCGACGACGGGACGTCCCTGACGCGCTCTGCAGAATCCAAGCTCCACCTCGCAACACGCGCAAAACGGAGGACGCAGTTCGTGATACACGATGAGGGCGAGATTGAGAACCCCTTCGTCACCCCGAAGAAGCAGCATGTGGACGAGCCCGGAGACAAGGCGGCGGCGAGACGCGGAAGGAAGGCGCGCACGAGTCCTGCCCAAGAAAACTCTCCGCAGAAGGCGCTCGTCGACCTGCCAGACAAGTTCGCGCCCACCCCCTCGACGCCCAGGCATCGCGACGCACTTGCCGGCAAAGTGGCCGTTACACCCAGACACCGACTCATCATCGCCGGCCGGCCGCTGACGCCTCGCACTCCCCACACCCCAGGCACTCCGCGCAGCACCGCGCCCACCATCTACCACGAAGCGCGCCAGGTCTTCGCAAGAGGCTCTGCCCCCACCGCGTTGTTCGGCCGCGACAGCGAGAGGAGGGAGCTCGCGGCCTTCATCACAAGCCGAACCAAGGCCAAGACCTCAGGCTGCATCTACGTCTCCGGCCCGCCCGGCACCGGCAAGAGCGCCTTTGTCAACGATGTCTGCCGCACCGTCTCCGCGGACGAGTCTGTCAGAACCGGCTACATCAACTGCATGAGCGTGAAGAACGCTACAGATCTGTACAGGACGCTGCTCGAAGACTTTGTCGACATCACCGAAGTTGCAGAGGGCGACGAGATGGAAGCGCTGCGGACCGTCTTCATGCAGCGACAGACGTCGTATGTTGTTACCCTCGACGAAGTGGACCACCTGCTCGAGCTCGACGTCGAGCTCTTCTACAACATCTTCGAGTGGTCACTACAAAAGGCATCGGGGCTGGTGCTGGTCGGCATTGCCAACGCGCTGGATCTCACGGATCGCTTTCTCCCGCGACTCAAGGCCCGCGGTCTCAAGCCACAGCTACTGCCTTTCCTCCCATACAATGCCGCCCAAATCTCCTCCGTCATCACTGCCAAACTCAAAGCCCTTCTCCCAGCCGGCTCAACACAGCTGCCCTTCATCCACCCAACCGCCATTGTGTTCCTCTCCAAAAAGGTAGCCGCCCAGTCCGGCGACCTGCGCAAAGCCTTTGACATCTGCCGGCGAGCAATCGACCTCGTCGAAGCCGACACGCGCGACCGACACGCGAAAAAAGCCACAGAAATCACACCATCTCCCACGCCATCGCCCTCGAAAACACCGCTTGTAGAGAACATCAACTTCTCCTCCCCGGCCATCCGCTCTCCCGCCAAAACCAAAGACCTAAACAGCGTCATCGCGGCTTCCCTCGCCTCGCTCACCGTCGAAACTGCACCGCGCGCCACCATTGCCCACATGGCCAGAATCACAGCAGCTGTCTTCAGCAACGGCACCAGCCAACGCCTGCGGAACCTCAATCTGCAACAAAAAGCCGTTCTCTGCTCACTCTCTGCTATTGAGAAGAAGAAGCGCGCCACTGCCGCCGATAGCATCTTGGCCACACCTTCCCGATCCCACACTACATCCCCTAGCATCAAGGAACTCTTCGAAGCCTACACCGTGCTATGCAGACGAGAAAACATACTGCATCCTCTGACGAGCACAGAGTTCAGAGACATTGTGAGCAGTCTGGAAACACTCTCGCTTGTCTCAGCGGTGGAGGGCAAAGCAGGGTCGCTGGATGTTGGCGCTGGCACGCCGAGCCGGAGAGGCAGGGGCAAAGCCTTCCCCGGGGTTGCGGTAGAGGATCGCAGGGTTGCTAGTGTTGTTGGAGAAAAGGAGTTGGCGGATTCACTCGTAGGACCTGGAGCAGGTATTCTCAAGGGGATTCTTGAGGGGAACTAGACGTGTGCAGGGAAGTTTTGTCATGATTGTGGACTGAGGGTAGGCTTTGCACCGGTTCTTGTGATACCCTCGATTGAGGCTCTATAGGTGCTGGTTCTGGAAAGCGCAGCATTGGGTGTTGGGTTCGCATCATAGCTTGTATCACGAGCCTGGTAGTTTAGCGTAGCATAGCGGTCTTTGTCTCATAGTACACCACAATCCAGTGCGTTCTCGACCAAACGCTTTTGCATCTGCTGCTGTGTATGATCCATGAGGCCCACGAGGCGGGAGACAACACGACGGGTCAATCAAGTGTGCTCTCTAGCGCTGCTTTCTAACTACAACAGTGGTTTGACGCATAGTATACTCTACTTTCACAACGTCTTCTCTCTCATATGTCATGGTATCATTCATCCCCACTACAGGCCACCACTGCAACTTTTGCATTCCACCCTCACGATTCGGACCCTCAAACCTTAACGCCCCCTCCTTCCACTGCATCCTCCTTTCCCACGCCACTCTGCCCCTCTTCCTCTTCCTCTGCAGCGTCTTCTTTGTCCTGCCTCAGCGTGCTCGTTGGCACCTCGCTCTCCATGCCTGCCTTGCGAAACACAGCCTGCATCCAGCACCTATACATTTTCAGCCTCCTCTGCCTGTTGACCAGCATCCGTCGGTCGACGCCAATGTGCGCAATCTCAAAACCCGGCCTGGGAGTGTCCAGATCGTTGACGTCATCGTGGCTCTGCTCTCTCGTCTGCATGCCAGGATCGTGGAGAGACAGACTCTCCATCTTATCTGCGATGACACCCTCGGCCTCGGTCTGGGATATGGTGGTGTCCGCCACGTTGCCAATGGTAGTATCGCGTTTTCTGGCGCCGCCCCAGATATCCTCGAGTTCAGACTGCTCGAAGAAGTAGACGCGCGTACCGTCGCCGCGGACGTAGAAGTTTTCCTCCATGTAACGGCCTTTTTTGAAGCGGACTTGGGCGAGGTCGCCGCGGCCGTAGTCGCGGAAGAGGACTTGGCCGCCCGGCTTGAGAACCCGCCAGATGTTGCGGACGGCTTGGTCCCACTGCTTGGGACTCAGCGCGCTGAAGATGAAGATCATGAGCACAACGTCTACGCTGCCTTCAGCCAGACCTGGGGGGAGCCCGCCGTTCTCCGAGTCGGGAGCGGCGGCCACGTCCCAGACGTCAGCTTGTATGCGCTCCGGGTCGTAGAGTTCGTGGTTGCGGATGAGCTCGACTGCCTTTTTGGAGAAGTCGCACGCGTGTATCTTCAGCCGCTGGTTCCGACTTCTCTGCAGGATGGGAAAGGCGCTGTTCCCTGCCCCGGCGCCGACCTCCAACAGCGTAGCCTCTGGCCCATCCTCGGCGCCCACTTCTTCTAGAATAGGAAACTCCTGTGCCAGCCATTTGCGGTTCTTGAAGAAGTTGGTCTTGTTGTTTTTGTAGAACTGGTTCCACCACTTCTCGGGCTGGGCGTTGTAGCGTTTGCGATCAAAGTCGGAAACCGGCTCTTGCCGTTGTCTGGAATACTGTTCTTCTGAAAAGGCGAGGTAGTTGGAGTCGACGGTTACGTGGTCCCAGGCGTTGAACTCGAAGATGTTGTCGCCTTCCTCCAGGTAGCGCGAACCGAACGCAAAGGGATCGCTGCGCTTCTGATTGTTGTCTGGGTCGTGGGAGCGAGACGGTGGGGCGCGCACGGGTTGTAGAGAAGCAGGCACTCCATAAGCGTCGTTCTCGGCGGAGTCGAGGGCGGCTGGCGATGTGGCCGTCAGAGCCTCTGGTGGCGGCGTGCAAGCTGGAGTATGCGGAACAGGATCGACTGTGACTGCGAAGCGCATGTGCTCCATTGCTTTGGAGAGTTGCTGTTTCGGTTGTGGTTTCCTGGACATGGTGTTGTCTGTCTGGAATCTCGAGTCGCCGGCATCGTGGACACTCGCGCCACTGGCAGTTCCCGCGTGTGCACCGTTCATGCTGTCCGTCTTCGCAGCCATCTCGGACTCCTGACAAAGTCGCGTAAGCGGGGAATCTTGCAACTCATGGAGGGGAAATTTCGAGCGCTAGCGTCCAAAGGAGTTTGGTTCAGCCCTGGAGGTCCCTGACAGCCTTGGAGATCCCATGCGTCATGCAGAGCCGCAGCCGCATCAATATCTTCTCTAGGGCTAGCGCGGATCTGCGTCAACTGGTGTGCCATCTGGAGCGTGATGCGCTCATGGGCTCTGGGCTCTCAAACCGCTCAGCCACCATGTCGAGGTGACACCGATCAAACTCTGCACATACACAACTCCACCATATATCGACGCTTGGCCAACCCGTAATGGCATCCCTGCGATTCACCCGTCCAACGACACGCTGCGCGCGCCCACGCCAACCCCCCTCGCAGCGGCGGACCTTCCTGCCCAACCCCTTCGAAGCCCTGAACTCCGCGCTGCCATCTTCGTCGTCGCCGCCACAGATCCTGACCGCCGTGCGCACGCTGCCCTACCCCTCGGCCCCCGTCTACTCCATAATAGCCGACGTGCCCAACTACCAGCACTTCCTGCCTTACTGCCAGCGCAGCGACATAACCAAGTGGTCTGCACCGGACAAGGTCTACGGCCGGCGCTGGCCATCCGAGGGCACCCTGACCAGCGGCTTTGGCGGCATAACCGAGAGTTTCGTGAGCAGGGTGTACTGCATACCGGGGCGCTATGTGGAGAGTGTGGGCGGGAATACCGAGACGAGTTTGAAGACGGAGGATATCGCGCATCACCTCGACGGCGGCCAGCAGGCGGCGGAGCGAAGGGAAGGCGAGAACGGCCTGCTTACCCACCTGCGGAGTAAGTGGACTGTTGAGGCTATACAGAACGACCAGACACAGGTCAGTCTGGCAGTCGAGTTTGCGTTTGCGAACCCCATGTATGCCGCTCTGAGTGGGGGCGTCGCGCCCAAGGTGGCAGAGTTCATGATCAAGGCTTTCGAGAAGAGGGTCCAAGAGCTGCTGACGAACAACCCCGACATGGTCAGGGCGAGTCTAGCGGAACTGGATGGTAGTCGCTTGAAGAGGTAGCCATCACAGTCAATCCATGAGCAAACGAGTCACGTTTAAGTCCAGCGTTGATTGCTAATACCCCCACCTACCCGCTGACTACTTCATGCTCTCGAAATACTTCCTGAACCGTGGCTCATGCTCCAGGTCGCAGGCCAACACCGCCTCGTAACAAGCCATAAGCAGTTGCGGAAATTTGACCGTCCAATACCTGAGATAACCGCTCGGCAAAGGCCCCACCTTTGCTTTGATTGCATCGTCCATATCCTCATAGTGATTCTTCTTGTTCCTGAGCGCCCTCAACAAATCCAGCATCTTGTCGCCTGTGTATTTGCGCTGTTTCCCGAGCGAGTTGATGAAGCCCTGATCCAGCTTGGCGAGAAAGTTGCGTCTGTGGTCGAGCACGTCTTGCGAGGCTTCTTCGAGCACCGACAGGTGGGCAGATGGCGGGTCCCGAGGTTCACGTTCCCAATGATCGGAGCAGTCGCACAGGAAATCAAGGCGCTTCTGATCATCCCAGAAAAAGGGATGGTTCATCACTTGGAAGGCGTTGGGACGGTCTTCAGGCCTAGGTCGCAGCATCCAGTGGATGAGGCGATGTGGCTCCACAGAGTCTGCACCGAGAAGCAGGCGATCGAGGTTCGACTTCTCCTTCTTGATGTTGTATTCACGGATCTGCATCCAGCCTTCTTCGTCGTCAAAGGGATGGCAGCCGCCGGTGAGCACGTAGTAAAACACGCAACCGAGAGAGAAGATGTCGACGGCCCGCTTCACGCCTTGCGCGACCGGGTCCGTGGAGCTCGACGAGTCGCGAGAGAAGCCCTGCGAGCTGCCGTTGGCTAGTTCCTTGGGCTGCGAGATGAGCTCAGGCGCTTTCCAGCCAACAGTGCCTGCATTGCCAGTCGTTCCGACAAGGGTACTAACGTTATCGGGCAGCGTCTTACAGAGTCCGAAGTCAGAGATGACGAGCCGTACATCGTCCTTGGACGTGATCAACGGCTGTGCGATGAGTATGTTCTGGGGCTTGATATCGCGGTGGATGATGCGAAGATGATGAAGGTGATTCAATCCAGCGGCCAGTTGATACAGACAAGCGGCAGCTTTGCCGCTGATCTTGTTCACCAGACGCTGATGGCTTTCGGAGAGTTCCTCGCCTGGACGGCCGTCTTTGTAAAGGTCGAACAGGCTGGCCTGGCAGAGTTCGACGGCGATGTAGAGGAAGTTTTCATCCCTCTCGTCGTCAAAGTAACGGATGACGTTCGGGTGGGGATCGCTGTTCTGCAGAAGCTTTACTTCTTGCTCCGCGAGTCCAAAGTATTGCGGTAGCATGCGCTTGACAGCCACCTTGACCTCCTGAAGCGGCGTTAGCACAAGAAATTGAGAGCGAACGGAGATTCAGCGTACCTTCCATTTACCCTCAAAGACAAACGTTCCTCCGCTCCCGTTGCCAAGGAGTCGGTCTTGGTCTATTGTCAACTTGCCGATCCGCTTGATCTCGGATACGTTCTGCACATCGCCGCCGCTGACAGTGAGCTCATCTGGCTGCAGGCTCGGTCCTACCTCGAGCTGCTTGGCTGCATCTACAATTCGATTGACCTCGTCTTCCTCCTTCTGTTGGTTCTTGCTGAGTTTACGTCCGCCACGTCTGCCTCGGTGTGCTTTCTTCTTCTTGGGAGTCGTGGGCGCGGCTGACGAATCCTGAGAAACATCATCGGTACTGCTAGTCATCGGTTGAGCGTCCACGTTGAGCGGAGTGCCAGGCAGGACCTCGTCTTCGGCAGGGGGGCTACGTTCGACAGTTGTGGTCCTGGAAAGGGGCGCGAGATCTTCGTCTTCGTCGTCTGGGACGTCAAAAGTCACCTTCTTCTCCTTGACCTCCTCAGCAACGGGTGCGGCAATGTCAGCTTTCGCTACAGTTCCTACCATCGGCTTCTCGGAAACGAGGTTCTCGTCGACTATGAGAGGTAGCGCCTCTTCTTCTACAGGTTGTACTTGCGGCTCGGCAGAGGCGGGCACAGGAGCGGGAGGCAACTTGGCCTTGGCCGAATGCAATAGTCTCTTCAGGTGGCTCAGACATGATTCGCGTAGTGTTGGTTTCACGGAAGCACCAACGAATAGGCCAGCTGCAAGGAAAAAGACCAAAAGCTTCATCGAGGCCATTCTGTCCTGCGTCTGGCCTGTCGCGTCTATGGTCGGTGGTTGGTGCTGCTCACGGTGCGACGTCTCCGGCTGATTGGACACGGCCTGGTCGTTCAACGTTGGGTAGTACGTCGTGGCAGGAATGCCTGGCAGCTGTGCCTGCTGGCTGGGAATCCGGTAGTCTAGCCTGTGAACACCGACGAGGCTGCTCTTGTCCGGCAGCAGGTAGGCCGAGTCCCACTCGTAGGATACTTGATCCTGCTTGTAGCAAGAGGCGTCCGGTGCACCGTCGGTGACTGCGGGGTAGTTGACTTCGGACAGGGCATACCAGGCGCCGGACTCGGTGGTGTTGAGCAGGACGTGGTTGGCTTTGTCTTCGGAGAAGATGGGGCCGGCTGGCTGTGGGAGCAGAACGAGGGGCGGCTCGCTGGATTGGTCGTTCAGGGGGCGGGCAACGTCGAAGACACGGGCGACAGGGTAGGGCAGGCGTTGGCGGTAGAGGGGGCGCTGGTGGGATCGCGGGCGCTTGTAGTCGAAGGCGATGACTTCGCCGTTGTACATGGTGTAGATGTACTGCTTGTCCAGGGTCTGGTCGTACTGGGACTGCAGGTCCTTGTCTCTGCTGTTGGGATTCCACTCTGCATACTTGAGGGTGCAGATGAGCTCGTTGGTCTTCTTGTTGTGGATGGTGATGGTGTACTGGGTCTGGCCAATGTCGATGACGCCGCGGCAGTCGCGCTCGCGCGTGGTGAAGAAGTTCTTGGAGTCGGGGGCGCAGCTGTCGTCGTAGGGGAAGTTGCCGCCCGGGGTGAAGCTCTGCTTGACAATGCCCGAGGCGGCGTCGACGAGGAGCATAAACGTCTTCTTCTCGACGTTGTAGACGACGGGGAGGTCCGGGTCGTCGCTCGAGTAGGGGGCGCTCTCGGCGAGCTGCTTGACGGTGACGCCCAGGTGCTGGAGCTGGGGGTGGGGCCCGGGGGTGAGGAGGTACAGGGCGCCGTCCTCGCGGGGCTCGACGATCCACACAAAGGACTGGTGCTGGGGGCCGGGGCGGTCTTCCGAGACGTTGTAGATGGTCTCGAGCATGGGGCGGCCGCTCAGCTCCCAGATCTCCTCCCCGTTGTAGCGGTCGCGTGCGTGCATGTGGCCGTCGACGGTCGCCAGGAGAACAAAGTCCTCGACTTCCCAATCGTGCAGAGAGCGCGCACTGGGGACGAGGCCCCCCGAGGCAGCGTGTCTGGCAGGATGGGCTCTGACAGCGCTGATGGCTGGAGCAGAAGGAACTTTGGTAGCTACGGCGCGCACGTTCTGGTCGTTCAAGGGCGTGTAGGCAGGGCGGCCGGGGGCGTCGCCTACCGTGTCTTTGCGGCTGGCCTGGCCGTGGTGGGGTGCGAGCATGTGCACCTCGGCGCGGGCAGACGTCTGGTGCACATGGCGGTCGAGTGGATGCTGCTGCTGAGCGGCCACAAGCGTGACGAGGACGAGGGCGAGCGTCGTGAGCGTCGAGCCAGCTCCAGGCGGCCGGCGCGGGCGTGGCATGGCACGGCGAGGGTCCTGCGTCGATGGAGCGGAAGCCTAGGCAAGGCGGCGAGGGCGAGCGAGATGGAGCATCCGTGGGTGCCGATGGGCGTGGGCAGGAGGAGGAGCAGTGTCCGCTGCCGTGATGCGGATTTTGGCCTCGATGCTAATCTGCGGGGGCTTGGTGTAAACTGGGGTCTGGCCGCGCCTGCTCTCGTTTTAGTCCCACCCTTGGCACCCTGCCCACGACATGAAACTGAACAAGACATGCTGCGAGGGCTGAGCATGCCCGCGAGTCCGTAGAGACACCTCGCGACATGGCCTGATTACTTCACTCGTCATTTGCCAGGTCCTGGAAGCAGCTCGGACATGGAGCATGACGCAAAGAAAAATGGTCCTTAGCCAGCTTGTCTGACTGCATTCATGACTTCCGTAGTATACACCTATCTAGTGTCGACCCCTTCACGGCATCACGCTTGCTCGTCCCATGCCTACATGCGCTCGCGTCTCCGCGGCGCGCTTCGGATAATGTTGTCTACGCGCAGCAGCAGCTAGATCGTGTTAGTCGGGTCCCCAGCTCAAACAATGGGCAAACTCACCTCGGCAGCCTCCGACGCCGACGACACCACCGCGCGCTTCAGCTTGTAGCTCTCGATGACGCCCAGCTCCCTCATGTCCGTGATGCCACCTCCAGGAGACAACAGATCCAGGCCCGAGCTAGTCAAGCCCGAGTAGACGGCTTTCCGGAGGCGTGTAACGAGGTCGCTTGAGTCGAAACCGGCATTGTCGGCCAGGATCGTGGGCAGTTGCTGGAGTGCCTTGGAGAAGGACTCGACGGCAATGGCCTTCTTGCCAGCCACGTTTTGTGCAGCCTCCGCCACCGCCTTGGCCATGTTCATCTCGGCACAGCCACCACCGAGCGTTGTCCTGGGCTCCTTGATTGTTTGCGACAGAACGGCAAGGGCATCGTGTAGCGACCGCTCAGCCTCGTCCAGAAGTTGCTCGGTTGCGCCTCGGAGGACAATGGTGCATGCCCGTCCAGCGTTGATGCCCGAGAATCTGATCAAGACATCCTCTCCGATGATGACCTCTTCGACCAGATCGCAGTGGCCGAGCTTGACGTTCTCCGGGTGGTCGAATGTCGATGTGATTTCTCCGCCCGTGACCAGTGCCAGGCGCTCGATGCCGTCAAAGTCGGCATGCTCGATGGAGCAGATGCCGGCGTCCGCAAAGAGCTGCTCTGGCCAGTTGTAGATGAGCTGCCGGTTGACGAAGCAGTTGATGCCGTGTGCCTTGATGCGCTCGACCTTGGCCTTCATCTTCTCGCGCTCGGCCTTCTCCAGCTCCGCGAGCTTGCCGGTCGAGTCGACCTTGACGCGTGCACCGAAGATCTTGATCTTGTCTGTGTCCATGGCTGTGTTGGCAACCAGAATCTTTGCGTTTTCTATGCGCTTGGGCTGGTTCACACCGAACTTCTTGTCCAGGATGAAGCCCTCGTCCAGGTACGAGTCCTTGAGCTTTCCGCCAGCCTTCTTGATGATCTGGATGTGCGTGAGGTCGGTCGAGCCTCCGAGCTTGAGGACGGCGTCGACGGCGAGTTTGGCAAACTGCTGTCGGTCCTGCGAGAGCACCTTTGAGCTGAGGGTCGTCCGGGCGATGGCCTCGAGGTCTTTCCTGAAAGCCTGCTCGTCGCTGCTGTGGTCTACGGCAATCTTCTCTAGCGCCTTGAGGGCCGCAGAGCTCGCTATCCTGTAGCCCTCGATGATGGTCTGGGGGTGGATCTTCTGGTCGACCAGCTTCTCGGCCTCTCGCAGCAGCTCGGCGGCAAGGACCGTGACTGATGTGGTGCCGTCGCCGACTTCGTCATCCTGGACCTTTGAGATGTTCACCAAGACCTTGGCGGCGGCGTTGTCGAGGGCAATCGCTTTGAGGATAGTCGCGCCGTCGTTGGTGACCATGATCTCGCCGGTAGAGCTGCACACATTAGTTGCAGCACACTATGCACGGCGCGGGGTCACGTACGCCGACTGTAATATCTTGTCCATGCCCTTGGGGCCCAGTGTGCTCTTGACCAGGTCGCCGACGGCGATGGCGCCTACAAAGGCCGAGAGACGCGCATTCTCGCCCTTCTCCTCGGTGACGTCCTCCGCAAAGATCTGGGTGGGGTTGGACTGTACGGGCGTCAGTACTGTTGCGCCTCTTCGCGTGCGGCGGGCGGCATACCATCTTGCACGCACTCGTAAACAGGCAAGGAGGGGAATTCGGGAGGGCGTGCGGTGGGTGGTGGGTGGTGTCTGAACGCGACTTTTTTCTCGGCCTGCCCGCGTTGGAGCTGTGTTTGCGATATCTGCAGAGCTTCCCCGGCCAATGGTTCCACCGGAGCCCGTGACCGTCTGGATGCCTACCACTTCTGATGCTTCACCACCGCCCCGGACTCTGCCGTAAGCCTGATGCTGTAGGCGCACGCTCTCCCGCCTCTCGACGCACCGCACCTCTTTCCGCCGCGCACAATGTCCAAGCGACCCGCGCTGGAGCCTCTCGAACAAGTCTACGACGCGCCGTCGCCGGCACCAAAGCGCGCCAGGGTCGAGGATGAAGACATGGAAAGCCCCCAGGCCAATGGCGCGACCAGCAACGGCCGCCCCATGTCTCCGCGCCAGCGCGACCGGGGGCAAGTAGCCGTCGCAGGCGCACACCAGGAGGAGCATGCGGAGCTGGACGAAGACGACAACGAGCCCGCCGTCGCTGCGCCGAGACGCCAGACCGCCCCAGAGGCTGGATACACCGACCTGTACCTGGACACGATCAATCGCAAAGTCCTCGACTTCGACTTTGAGAAGCTGTGCTCCGTCACTCTGTCCAACATCAACGTCTACGCCTGCCTCGTATGCGGCAAATACTACCAAGGTCGCGGCCCAAAGTCACAAGCTTACTTCCATGCTCTGGAAGAGGGACACCACGTATACGTCAACATGGAGACGAAGAAGGTCTACGTGCTCCCCGAAGGCTACGAAGTCACGTCCAAGTCGTTGGATGACATCAAATTCGTCGTGGATCCGCGCATGACCAAGGACGAGGTCGCGAAGCTGGACAGGGAGCCCAAAGTGTCGTGGGACCTCTCAAATCGAGAGTATATACCTGGCTTCGTCGGCATGAACAACATCAAAGCGAACGACTACTTCAACGTTGTCGTGCAAGCTCTCTCCCACGTGGTCCCCTTGCGGAATTATTTCATGTTGGAAGACCTGTCGAGTCGGCCGCAGCTCGCGCAGCGCTTCAGCACGCTTGTCCGCAAGATCTGGAACCCGCGGGCGTTCAAGACCCACGTCTCGCCCCACGAACTGCTCCAAGAGATTGCGTTGCGGTCCTCAAAACGGTACACGCTCTCTGATCAGTCTGACCCCGTCGACTTCCTCTCGTGGTTTCTCAACAACCTCCATCTGGCCGTTGGCGGCTCGCGAACAAAACCCAACAGCAGCATAATCCAGAAGGTATTTCAAGGCACGCTGAAGATCGAGCAGCAAGAAATCACCGCTCGTGCAGATGCCGGCGACCGTCTCCGTTTTGAGGATGCAGCCGTGCAGACCGAGATATCGCGCTTCCTCGTGCTAACCCTCGACCTGCCCGCAGCCCCTCTCTTCCAAGACGCACTCGAGAAGAACATCATCCCGCAAGTCCCCCTCGTCAACATCCTCTCAAAATACAACGGTGTCACGCCGCAAGAAAAGTCCAAGAACCGGGTTCGCTACCGCCTCCTCCACCCCTTACCGCCGTACCTCCTCTTCAACATCAAGCGCTTCTCCAAGAACAAGTTCGTCTCGGAGCGCAACCCAACTATCGTCACCTTTCCCGTTCACTCCCTCGACATGTCGCCCTACGTCGAGCCGAACCCCAAAGAATACCCACCCGGCGAGCCCATCTGGTATGATCTCGTAGCCAACATCACCCATGAGGCTGTCAAGAAGAAGGACGACAGTGTCGAGGGTGAGCAAGAGAGCAAGGTGTGGAGAGTGCAGGTCAAAGACCGAGCGAGAGAGGAGTGGTACGGCATTCAAGATTTGTACGTCGAGAAGGAGAGGGGTGAGACGCTGTTTACCAAGGAAGCATACCTAATGGTCTGGGAGAGGAGAAGAGGGCAGAAACCAAAGGCAAGGTAGCAAGGAAGAAGTAGAGCTTTGTATGAGTAGTTTCCGGTGGGGTGTTTGATTTGATGTCTGCCGGGTGCTTGGGAATATACCAAAGGCAATCGATGTGCTTGCTTGGATGTCCTTTATGATCATCCCCCAACCGCTATTGCTCTCCATTGTGTCTCTCGTATAATGCTCTCAATACCGCCTGATGTCTTTCCTAACTTCGCTTCGATTCGAGTGATTCCGCTTCCTGGCTCACTCTCACTCTCCAATAGTTCACATGTAGAAGAGAGCGGTTTCGAGTCAGACCTGGCGACTTGCTCCACACTGGCTCGATAAGAAGACAACAGGTGAAGAGCTGGGCAGCTTAATCAACACTTGGTAATACATCAGCCCACACATGTGACGTTGCCAGGTGCTGTCTATAGCAAGGATTACGAATGCTCACCTCACATTTCAAGCTCAATAGCAGAAATAAACAAGATGGAAGGAGAAGGCAATTTTCGGCTGTTGCTATTCATACCTACACATGGCTCCGGCGCTAATCCACCCTCCTACATCCATGCCTCCACCTAAGTACCCCAAAAAGGCACACCCTCTACCACATAATCCCCTTCCACTCAAACGTGCCATCAATATTCCGCCACTTCTCCTCCACAATCGCACTCTTCCACCCCATCATGATAGCCAACAGCCTACAGCTCGTACTACTGACCGTGCATACCACCGTGTCCGCCTTGCCCAGTACACTCAAATCCAGCAAATAAGCGCGCCCAACCAGTTCGCGCAGTTTCATAGCGCCATCAGGCACATCGACGCTTTCGTCGTTGACCTTCTTCATGTCCTCCGCGTTGCCCACGGGCTGGCCCAGAGAGAAGAAGACGTCGCGGTAGAATCCGCCTTCCCAGCCCGTAATCTCGTCGATCCACGTGTTCTTCTTGGGCTGCGATTGTGCGGCTTCGAGAGCGGCCTTGGTGGCGAGCACGATGCGGTCTTGGGCTCGGATGCTGTTGGGACCTAGTTCGGGAGAGTCGTAGACCAGCGGGTCGTCCGAGGCTAGTATCATCTTGGAAGTTGTGTGGCGGGGGACGAGAGGGTCGGTGGAGGACGAAAAGGGGGAGGAGAGCAGGCTGCGCTGGGCTTTCTTCTTGAGACCGCCCTCTACCATGTCAATGTAGAGGTCGCGCGCTGTGTCCACGTAGCGCGCTAGTGGGATGTAGTCTTTCTGGTATTGGTATTCCATGGGGTGCTTGTCGCCGTGTCGGACGTGCATGGCGATGCTGAGGCCGCCTTCGCTCTTGACTTCGCCGTACATTTCTAGTGCCCGTTGCAGGACGTAGGTCTCGTCGTCTGAGCGAAGTCTGAAGAGTGCTTCGTAGCCAGTCCTAGCCAGGCCGAAGATCTTTGACTGCCGTTGGACGCGCATCTTTGTTGCGTCTTCCCACTCGTCTGTGAAAGAGTGGCCGAATGTGGACTTGAGCGTCGCCCCACTGACGACGATGTGGCGGGCGGTGTGTGGGCATGGTACGATGTGGGATGGAGGAGGCGGGAGGCAGTTCGCAGAGGGCGGAGGCTGGAAGTAGGACGAGTATTTGCCATAGGGCCTGGGAGTGTCAGTGTCGAGTAGCAGCGGTACACGAACGAACATACCAACGCGTGTCATCGATGAAAAAGGCGCGCTTCTCAGCTTTGGCCAGACCGTACGACATCCACATGCGCATCAGCGTGTTGCCAAAGCCTGCATCCTCCGTCTCCATAGCATAGGTCAAGGTCCTGTCACAGACCTTGAGTCCTGCTGTAGAGATGCCATCCTTGATAGCCTCATCTTCCACAAAGCCCTTTGGCCTTCCTGCAGCCTTGGATGGTGGCAACAAGCCTTGTTGTTCCGCTTCTTGGACGTCGATGTAATACTGATCCTGCTGGTAATAGTTCAGCATCCTCTTCGCGAACCCGGACGAAGCATGCGCCTCCTGCCTCAGACCCTTTGAGACTTCCATGGACTGGTGGCAGATGTCGCGGTACTGTGCCGGTCGGAGCGGGAACTCATAGTCGGACGGTATCGACACGGTCCACCTCATCTTTCCCTTCGCATCCTGGAGGGCGAGAGCAACTGGCTCGTGGGGCAACTGACTGCCACCAACCATCTCCCATTCTTCCTCGTTGCCATCCTCGTAAGCAGCCGCTCCTTGTGAGTGTGCGTATATCTGCCTCAGCACAATCCACAGTAGAAATGCTACTCCACAGCACCCTATGAGTATCCGCTTTACCAATCTTGAATGACTCGGCTGGGTCGTCTTCTTGCCGTGTTTCGGTAGCAGGCTCGGAAGGCTTGGACTCGGCGGCGGGGATCTCGCAAGCAGACCACGTCTCGAAGGGACCGTGGGAGAGAGGAACGCACTCGAGGTGGCAGACTGGGGCGGCGGGCTTAGTTGTGAGTAGTGAGCTGTCGACTGTATGGACAGATTCGGATTCCGTCTAACATGCATCTTGGACAGCTTCTTCGCAGCCTGGTTGAGCATGTCGGTTGCCGTAGACCTGCTGGATTCAGAGGACGGTGTAAGATATCGGCCAAGTCGGGCGGCCTCCTGCAGTGTATGGTACCACTGTGATGACGAAGCTGTAATGCTAGTATATGCAGTCGGTAGACGTCACTGACCCTGCAGCGAACGCTCCAACAAGCAAGTAAAGATGTAAGTAGTCAAAGGAGGGGACGTAGGCACCGCCTATCAAATAAAGCAAACAAGCCGGTAGGGGTAAAAAACTACAAGAATGTAACTCGGTCTCTTCGTTTCCTCAAGATGCGAATCAACGGAGAGGGAGAAGCAGACGTTCAAGAAGCCGTTCAAGAAGGCATTCGAAAGGGCGGCAACCTAAGGTGTCTGGACGAAGGCCCCTCCTGGCGCAGGTCGAGTTTCACAACCAGAAACAATCCGACGTCCGAGCAGGATCCCGCAACGAAATGATCTCCATCCAGGAGCGTCCGAGTCCTTAGCAGGAGAAGGGTCAGCAAGCGATCCAAGGGCACCGAAGCGACGATTCAAGGTGCGCGGCAGACACCAAGATAGGATCAAAGGTAAGATTGCGGGAGATGGCACTTGCTGGATCCAGGAAGGTTGCAGTGTAAATGCGGAAGGCCCAGGAGGGTGCCTCGATTTGTCGCATGTGCGCGGGCCACGTCGTTGTTTCAGAATGGCCTTTTAGTGCAACGTTGTTGACGCACTGGTGCTTGCTAGGACGACCCGTCTCCGGCGCCAAACGCCTTTGATGCTAGGGCCGAGTAGCCAAAACCCCATGACAGTGACACCACTGGTCGCTTACACCAGTAGCGGCCTGGGACTTGGGCATGTTGACTGGTTCGTTTACTGCGAGTTTGAAATAGACAGTGTGTAGTCAGATGGTGTGAGGTGTATTAAAGGAAGTCTGTCATGCGCGTGCAAGTAAGACGATCTCGGGAGCTCGGGATCGGAGGTATAGTACTCGGGGTCCTGTGAGATGCAGCTGGTAAGACGGCACGGGGTCTGAATGTAAAGCATACTTTCCATCGAGAGGGTGTGGAAGCTACTCTCCATGGCTCCATATCGTATTGTAGGCAAGAAAGATGCGCGAAAGCTATGTAAAGGGGGTATCAGATCGAAAGTCCCTCGGCACAGGAAGATGAAGAAAGAAAAGTGGTAGTGTACAATCCTCCGGGGCGCATCGCAATGAGTAAACAAGCAGAAAGCCGCCCCTGCATAGCATGCGTACGTGTCCCGTACGCTGCACCCGATTTTCCAGTCCATTCCTGGGCCATGATTACTCCGTTGCCAATAAACGCCTGTCGCTAATGTGTTCCTCGCAGTTGAGGATGTTGCTGAATGAGAAGAAAAGTTGCAAGTACTGTGCCCCGCGCCGCTCGTGCCGACATCTCATCTCATCCTCATTACCGTACTTCGTTTCATCTCGATCGAGCTGATTCATCGGTTCGCCTGGGCAAAATCATGGTCCCTCGGTGACGGGCCTGAGACTGCTTCGCCTTGCAGTCTTCTCGACGCGGCCGGTTATCATCTCGTCGAGCATACGCGTCATCTCCTCGATGTTCTTGGTTGAGCCATTGGAAGCTGGTGGAGGCAGGAACGGCGCTTTCACGCTGAGCGCGGGCGATGTGGGACCCTTGGGCAGAAGACTGACTCCACTGCCGTCGCTGCCGCTGCGTTGGTAGCCCGAAGTACGCCGGCTGCCGGGCGACTCGCTGCCCATCTCGTGTGCGTTGTCGTTCTTCTTGCGAGCCGACGTGAGGGCGCCAATCATGCGCTCCTTGTCTTCCAGCTGCGCCCGCAAGTTGACTATCTCGTTGTCTCTCTCGGCAAGCGCCGCAATCATGCCGCCCTCCTCGCTGTTTGTGAGTTTGTGCGACAAGGACATGGAAACTCGAGAATGGCTGGAGCGCCGGGCATGCAAAAGGCGCTTCTCAAGGGTCGCGATGTAACGGTTCTTATCCGCAAGGTCAGCCTGCAGGGCTTGGATCTGCACGGTCTGACTCGCAATGCCGTCTCCGTTCTCCCCGACCGAGTCGTCTTCCTCGGAGCCGTCCATGTGGAGATGTGGCGTGCTCTGTCTTTTGCCTGGGACTTCGAGGGTGGCGTGGCTTGCCGAGGAGCGTATGGAGCTGGGGCGCATGTCGTGGTGGTGATTGCTCATGACGGAACCGCGCTGGAAGCTCATTGACGAGAAGGACCGGCCGTTGTTCACGCCGAGCGATTTGGAGCTCAAGATCAGCCTGTTGAGATGCTCAATCCGCTCCTTCAGGGCAGTCCGGGCGAGCTGCATTTCAAGCATCTGCTCCTCATGGCGCTGCTTGTCTTCCAACTCGCGCGCCTTCTCTTCCTCTTTGTCCTTTTTCAGCTCGTCGTCTTCTTCTTCCTTGGGCTCCTTGTTCTTGCCTTCTGCCAGCTGCTTTTTCAGATCCTCAATCTCCAGGCGGTAGCGATCCAGAAGTGCTCGGCTGCCGGCATCCCCAGCAGCGCCCATGGACTCGTCGGCCTTCTTGGCGTGGCTGACGATGTTGTTCTTGGCTCGAGAAGCGAACTTGAGCGTGTTCAGCGTCTCGCCCGTGTGGCTGTTGACAGCAGCGGGACTCCCGCTGGCTCCGATCTGGATAGTGCAGAGGATGCTGACGAGCGAGTTTCCGGAGAGGGCGGGCTGGAGAAGTCGGGTGAGCTTGCTGTCTCGGTACGGCAAGTGCTTGTCGCCCTTTCCTTTGTCCTTTTCCGACTTGTCCTTGTCCGAAGCCAAGCGGCCAATGACTGTGCCCAAGGTGAGCAGGCTCTTGTTGATGTGGGAGCCCTCTGTCCGCCGCTCCTTGTTGTCCGCCGCCTTTTCAGAGCCAGCCAGATCGATCAGACTGAGCGTCGAAACACGGACGCCGCCCGGGACAATGGCTGAGCGCTTGTCGCCGTTCATTGCAGGGCCAGGAGCGCGTTCCCTGCTCTCGACGACGATCTGGACGACAGCGTGACTCCGGGAACTGCGCGCGTTGAACTGCGTACCCGCCACCTTTCGCGAATTGTCACCCCGGGCGATGACCCTCAGGAGCTGGGTCGGGCTCTGCACAATCTCTTCCTTGAGCGGCGACGCATAGACGCCACGCTTGCTGTCCTCGCGCAGCTTGATCTCTTCCACGGGCCCGGTCTGGCCGTTGATGCCCACGACGGGCCCCGCCAGCAGATCGATAATCTTCTCATTGTAGATCTCGATGTAGCTGACCCTCAGGAGGAACTCGCGCTGGGGCGTCTCCCGGATGTAGGAGAATATGTCGGTGATGGCCAGGGGTATGACGCCGGGGTTCGTCGCAGTTCCTTGCATGGAGAAGGTCTTGCCGGTTCCCGTCATGCCATAGGCAAAGACGGTGCCGTGATAGCCCTCCATGACCCTCCGGACGAGTCGCTTGGCTGCAGCATCGTACACGCGCGCGTTGTTGTCTTGGGTATCGAATACGTTGTCTAGGTCAGGCCAAATTAGCTCCGGTGCAGCGAGCCTCGCCGTGTGCAAGCATACCGTAAATGTAGTCTCCGCCCTCCTTGCCCTTGTAGGCGATCAGGGCCTGCTTGTTGTTGACTTGCCACTCGACGTCGTGTTTGGGTTCCTTGGCGCCGGCATCGGGGCGGACGCGGACGCTGACAATGACATTGCCTTTGCCGTCCTTGGGTGCCTTGGCGTCGGCGCGTCCGTCGTCCCCGTCTTCGAATGTGGTTGCGCTGGTGGCGTAGGAGCCCTGCGGCGAAGAGGTGCGGCTCTGGGGCGGCGAGGGGAGGCTGAGATGGGCCGTCTCGACGGTGACGGAGTCGGCGCTGCCGTTGAGCAGGCTCGGGGGCGACAGGGGCGACTTGGGGAGCAGGCCTCGCGCGCCGCCCATGTTGGAGCTCCGCGGCTTCTTCAGACTGTTGCTCCGGGCGGGCGCTGGGCCCTTGGATATCGAGGACAGCCTCCGGTCGACCGTGTCTCCGCCGGGCGTGGAGCTGGTGGATAGCGGACTGGTAGGATTGGAGCGTCCGCCGTGCCTGGGCGGCTGGGGAAAGGAGCCGATGCTGACCGTCTTGCGCAGCGACTTGCCCACGGGCAGCGAGCCGGCCGCGCCAGCGTCGGGCGGGAACGAGGGCACCGAGGGAGACGTCAGATGCTTCGACGTCGGGCGGTAGGGCAGCGACGACGACGACACAGCGCGTGTGCTGGCGGCGCCGGGGAGCAGCGAGCTGCGCGTCGTCGGACCGACGTGGGAGCTCCGCGACTTGGGGACGGGCAGCGAGGGCAAGGGACCGGTGGGCGGAGCGATCGAGGGCCGCGACGGGCGAGGCAGCGAGTTGGCAGACATGGTGATGGGGTGGCGCGTCTGTACGAGTGCTGCGGCGGGCGGCAGAGGTGCTGGCGCTGCAGTCGTGGGCCCTACAGGCTTTGTTTTTGCAGGTGGCCTATGCCGCTGTGCACATGTCCGGCGTGGCCCTCCAGCAACGCGACGGGGCCTCGCAAGGTAGGCGGGGACGAGTACGTCGCGGACAAGCAGGGCCCTGGGCGCGGGAAGCAAGCGCAAAGGCAATGCAGCGGAGACGGGTAGTCGCAGTCGAGGCGGGGGGAGGCGCGCTGGCAGGCCTGGGGACGTCGTGGGCGCGTCCAAGGGGGCAGCGAGGCGATGGGATGTGGCAGCACGCAGCGTCTCTCAGCGTCGCTCAGCGTGAGGTCGGCCGGCAGTGTGTTGGCGTGGTGGGGAAAAAGGAGCGGTGATGAGATGGATGGCAGGATCCCCTGGGACTCGGGGCAGGTGCAGGTGCTGGTGCAGGGGCCCGACGAAGGAACGACCGACCGATGAAAGCGCCGTGCCAGTGCAAGCAGAACGGGCGGGCGGCGTGGCTGTTCGCGCCAACGCACCAAAGACGCAGGGCCAGGTGTACCTGGGAAAAGGGGTTCACTAATGTCGGCACCCACAGCAGCTGCCATCTGCAGACCCTGGCCCGCCTGCCTCTACTCTCTGTGCGCATGCTGATCCGCCCGTCTACATACAGAACCATCCGCCGTCTCCGCCTCACTGCACCAACCCCCAGTGTCGCCGCGTCCTCTCCAGCCAGAGACTAACGCGCTGGTGCTGCGGGAGCGCCACACTGCACGTGCTGCCGCGTTTGCCTTCCGAGCCACCACTACTCCTACCAACGACTGCCGGCCCAACAAACACCAATGACCCGCCGGCGTCGGGAAGCCTCGCTTGAATGGCCTCGTGATCAAGCATGCTCCAGCATGGTGACCAACCAGAGACCAACCCACCGGTATTGCGGGGACCTTGTTATCCACTGTTCCCCTTCGGAGCATTGTCCATGCCGGCACTCGAGTCTACTTACTCGTGAAACAACACAACCGCCAGAGGTGCCGCTCCAAGGCCACTGCATCGGGTGCTGCCGAGCATGTCACTGGCCATGGTGCCGTCTGCCAAGCGAGTGATACGCTCAAAGCGTACCCCATCCGAAGACACTCTGCCCGAATTTTGTAATGGCCAGATATTGCAATCCCCACAGGCCAAGATCGATAGTCAGCTCCAGTGCACCACAGAGCGCTACGCGTGAGAGCTGGGTGCCAATGTTCCGCCAGCCTACACCCTCACCGAGACCCAACCCACCCACAATGCGGTACGACCCTGCATGCCCTTCTTGCCTGGCTACATAATGTGAGGCAATCGCTCGCAAAGTGGCCATCCTCAATGGGAGCATGACGAGGCCGACAAGCTGGGCTCTGACCATTGCACTGATCATCTGCGCCGGCTCACACGAGAGTTGCGTGACGCGGTGGTATCCATGACCGTCCATTGAGCGGGCTCGGTTCCTTGACCCGGCAGCTGCGTCGTCTTGCAACGGATCCGAGCCTTCTGCGACTTGCGTGTGGGTGGAAAGTATCCTAGGCGGGAGACGGACTTCCATCTCTACGATTCCTTCCCTCGACGTTATGCGTATCCGGGGACCGTTCTCGTTCTGCTCCGATTGTGTCGGCGACCCTGGCGGGGTGGTAGATCGCACCAGGTCCTCAAATGCATCGATCGGAACGGCGATGGCATCTGCATCGAGCGGCTCTGCGGAAGGGTGATCTGTCGAGTGCAGGACGGGGAGATTGAGTGGGGTAGCGCCGGTAACCTGAGTGCCACCAACTTGTAGCGTCTGGATCTCGCTCGAGGCGATTGCAGGTGCAAGCTCCATTGCCCGCTTTCTTTGTGCGCTCGGAGGGGACACCGGCCGGGCCCACCCAAGCATTGCGAGCAGGCTGTGAACGGCGTCCCGAATCAGGGGCGGCGACTCCCGTCGCAGCCCGAGAACAGCCAAGGCCCGGTCCTTTCCACTGGCGTCCCGGCTGGGAATGTCGGGCTCGTCAGGACGGATCATGGCCGTCTCGACAGCTTCGTAGACGCAGGCGTAGACCCAGCGCTCGATGGAGTGCTCAGCACACAGGAGGATGGCGGGCGAGGTCAAGATTGCACCGATGCAGTCCGCCATGGACTCAGACGCATTGCAGTGCAGAGAGAACGGCAGAGGCGACGAGTCTGAGAGGGGATTGAGGGACCGCCAGGCTGGCAGTAGTGGGCGGGCGGGCACTAGTCCAAGGCGTTGCAATGCAGCGTGGTAGAAGAAGGGATAGCACAGCATCTCGAGGCCCAGGCGAAGGCTAGACTTGAGGGCTCTCCTGGCGTGGCGGAAGAAGTTGCGTGTCCTTGCGGTTGCGCGTGTGGCATAGAGCAAGCGCTCGACAGGCTGATAGACAAAGGTGCTGTAGACAATGGCTTGGATGTGCATGGTCGCAAACACGCGCGCGGCAAAGCCGGCATAGACAATGGGGGCGCCAGAGAGGGCACGCTCGGCGGCGGCGATTTGGGCAAAGGTGAGGGCATGGGGATAGTGGAACGTCTGCGCCGGTTAGTGGATCCACGAGAGGGCGGCGGCAGGAACGTGCCAGAATCCTCTCCCTGAGAGTGCCTATCCACCAGGTGCACAGGTTCTCGGTGAGCGTGGTCGCCAGTGCAATGGCATTCCCAACGGTGTCCTCGGCTTCCAGCAGCTCGAGGCGGTCGTGGCTGGCGCGCGGGAAGGCTCCCGCCGGGGCGTGTCGCCGCTCGACGACGCCGACCGAGGCCAGCACATCGTTCTGGGCGCCTCGCAGCTTCTTGCCGTACTGGTGGGAGCGCGGGTTGATGGGGCTGCCGCGCTCGTCGTAGAGCTGGACGTAGCTGTTGGCGGTCGCCTCGTGGTAGCGCGGCGGGACGTCAGCCTGCGCCGACTCGAGCTGGACGTACGCGGCCGACTGCGATGCGGCCTGCGTGGGCGCAAAGGCCGAGCGCCCCTAGCACCGTGTTAGCCAGCATGTGCGCGCGGCGCTGGCGGGGTCCGTACAAAGGCCATCTTGTCCAGGTAGGCTTGGCGGCCCATGGTGGTGGTGGTGGTGGTGGTGGTGGCACGGTGCGTGTGCGGGAGACGCGCCGCCACACGTCAGCGCGCGGTAGGGCCGCCTTATCGATAAACTTTTTTCCTGCGCCCTCAGCTCGCCCAGCATACGCTTCCTGCCTCTGCCTCTACCACACGGCCCATCATGTCGGCGCAACGAGCTGCCGTCAAGACCACGTACAGCGTCGCTCGCACCCTGCAGCCCATCTACGCGGGCGGCAGCCTGGCCCTCAGCGAAGACGGGCGCATCTTGGCCGCCAGCTTGGGCGAGGATGTCCTTCTGTCCGACCTCACCAACGGCCAGGAGCTGGCAAGGGTCGAGGGCGACGGCGAGGCCATCACGGCCCTGGTGCTGACGCCAGCTGCATCCCACCTCGTCGTGTGCTCGCGGTCGCTGTCGATGCGCTTCTTCGCCCTCCACCCCCCGGCCACGGACGACGACACCATCGAGCTCGAGCTTCTGCGCACACTGCGGCCCCACACATCGCCCGTAGTCACCCTGGCCACAGACCGCAGCGGCACGCTGGTTGCAACCGGAGGCGCAGACGGCGTCGTCAAGATCTGGGACATTGTCGGCGGCTACACGACGCACGCTTTCCACGGCCACGGCGGCGTCGTCTCGGCCCTGCACTTCTTCGAGGTAGAGGTGGCGGAGCGCCCAGACGCCCCCGACAACAACAGGAAGAGGAAGAGGAAGTCGCGCCCAGAAGCTGCCGAGCTGGAGCACGCCCAGGGCGAGAGCCAGATGCAGTTCCGCCTGGCCTCTGGTGCCGAAGACGGCCGGATACGCATCTGGGACCTGCACAAGCGCAAGAGCGCCGCCGTGCTCGACTTGCACGTCTCCGTCGTGCGCTCGCTACAGTACTCGCCGCACGAAAAGGCCCTCGTGTCTGCCAGCCGAGACAAGACGCTGATTGTCTGGGACTCGCACACGTGGAAGGCGCAGCGCACCATTGCTGCTCTCGAAGGCATCGAGAGCGCAGGCTTCCTCCCCGACGGCAACACGCTGTATTCGGGTGGAGAGAACGGCCGACTGCGCCTCTGGTCCGCGTCCAGCGGCAGAGAGCTCACCCGAGAGCAAGCGCCTGGAACCGAGACGGACGAGATTGTCAACATTCTCTACTATCCTTCGTTACCCTACTTGGTCTCGGTCCATGCCGACCAAGTGCTCAACTTCTACACAATCAGACCAGCCGAGTCGCTCGGCGTGCAGGACACCATCGACCCGCTCCCCATATTCCGCCGCGTCTCGGGAACGCACGACGAGGTCATCGACATTGCCTACGTTGGCAGAGACAAGTCGCTACTGGCGCTCAACACCAACTCGGAAGACATCCGCATCATCACGTTGAACGAGTCTGACGGAGACGACGCAACCCAGGGCAGATACTTCGGTGCGGATGTCGGCTTGCTCAAAGGACATGAGGACATCGTCATCTGTCTGGACGTAGACTGGTCAGGCCACTGGCTTGCTACAGGTGCCAAAGACAATACGGCGCGGTTATGGCGAATCGATCCCGCAAACGAATCCTACACTTGCGCCGCAGTCCTCACTGGCCACGCCGAGTCGCTCGGCGCGATTGCATTGCCGCATACAATACCTCAGGAATCGTCAGCCGCCTTTACCGACCCCCTCTCGCATCCTCCCGCATACGTCGTGACCGGATCGCAAGACAGGACCGTCAAGCGGTGGGATACTACCAAAGAGATGAAGGGCAAACTGCGAGCCAAGTACACCCGCAAAGCACACGACAGAGACATCAACGCCATCGACATCGACCCCTCTGGCAGTCTCTTCGCATCCGCATCGCAGGATCGCACCGTCAAGATTTATTCCGCCGCAGAGGGAGAGGCCATCGGTGTCCTTCGGGGCCACAAACGCGGCGTATGGTCGGTCAAGTTCGCACCCAAGGCGTCCCAGGCGCCAAACTCGGGAAACAAGGGCCTGATCGCAACAGGCAGCGGCGACAAAACCGTCAAGATATGGAGCCTAGCAGACTACAGCTGTTTGCTCACCCTGGAAGGCCACTCCAACAGTGTTTTGAAGCTGTCGTGGTTGCCCTACCGGCCCGTCGATGCACGAGACAAGCGCGGCCCGCAAGTAGCCTCTGCAGCTGGTGATGGGCTTGTCAAGATTTGGGACTCACTCTCGGGCGAGGCCATGACCACACTCGATAACCACACCGACCGTGTCTGGGCGCTCGCCGCACATCCAACAACAGGCGCCTTGGTTTCTGGTGGTGGAGACAGTGTCATCACGTTCTGGGAGGATACAACAAGCTCCACGCTGGAAGCTGCGACGACTGCAGAGACAGAACGCGTCGAACTCGATCAGAAACTACAAAACTACACGTATGCCGGCAACTACCGCGAAGCCATCGTACTCGCCCTCCAAATGGACCAGCCAGCCCGCCTCTTCTCCCTCTTCAAGTCGGTAGTAGAGACTGAGCACCCAGATGCAGACAGCCTTTCAGGTCTCCATACCGTTGACGAAGTACTCGCCTCTTTGGCAGACGAGCAGCTGTACAAACTGCTCATCCGCCTCCGTGACTGGAACACCAACGTCCGCACCGCGCCGATCGCTCAAAAAATCCTATGGGCTGTGGTCAAGTCCTACCCTGCTTCTCGGCTAGCCAGTCTGAGGCCGCAGGGGAAAGTAGGGGCGAAGGGCAGTTTGAAGGACGTGCTGGATGCTATCAAGGTGTACTCTGAGAGACACTACAAGCGGGTAGAGGAGTTGGTAGACGAGAGCTACTTGCTGGACTTTACTCTAAAGGAAATGGATGAAGTAGCTGGGGAGGTAAAGGCCATTACGAATGGCACATCGCAGCTGGAGAGAGACATTGTAATGGTTGATTGAAGGCACTCCGAGGAGATCCTGTTCAGTGATGAGTTCAAGGCGAGTAGCTGTGTTATAGGCGCAGGGTAGATACCAAAGTTTGTCATTATCGAACTACGTGTGCGGCTGTTGCACTTGCTTTGCGTGACACCGAAGATGATGGTCGCCAGCGCATCCTCCAGCCCTCAGTCGCAGGGAATATTCGGCGTAAAGCAACAGCTCCTTGGATCCTGCATATTCTTTGACAGTGACCAGCATCTCTCGGAGCTGCCAAATCGGTGTACGTAGATACGCGCCTGCGAATAGATGGATCGCCGTCTGTGCCTCGGTTATTCTGACCGGCTATGAGATCACCGGTCCCGACTCCTCACCCAGCACCTACATACATAGGGCATGGTGCCAGGAACAAAGTCGCACCCCCTGTCTTATCCCCACAACAGCTCCCACAGACTCGCTCTCTAAAGAAAGCCGGTCATGTCTCAGCCGAAGATTACATTCTACGTGGACATTGTGAGCCCGTTTGCCTACATTGCTTTCCACGTCCTCAAGGTGAGTTTGTCTGGGTGGTGGTATAGGTTGAAGCACGTTTGAGACGTAGAGGTGTAATGCGGTGCTAATCGAAGCGTTTGTGCAGAATTCAAAGGCCTTCAAACAGGTCGAGGTGCAATATGTGCCGATCCTGCTTGGGGGTTTGATGAAGGTCTGTGGGAACACACCGCCGCTGAACATTAAGAGTATGTCAAGTTTTGTTCTCAGACTTGCCACTGTCTACCCTGACCTCTAACATCATACAGACAAAGACAAGTGGATCAATACGGAGCGCCAGCGCTTGTCGAAACAGTTCAACGTGCCCATCCTGCAAGATGCTCCGCCTGGCTTCCCTGTCAGCACATTGCCCATTCAGCGCGCCCTGGTATCTCTCTCGCTCTCTCACCCACAAAAACTTGAACGCGCAATAGAGCTCTGCTACGAAAATTTCTGGGCGCACTGGAACGACCCGACTAAGCCGGAGAATCTGCAGGCTATCCTTGGGACTGTTTTGGGCAGTGACGAAGAGGCGCAAAAGGTGATCGCGAGGACGAAGACCGATGAGGTGAAGCAGGCTCTGGGCGGAAACACTACCAAGGCGTTTGAAGACGGCGCCTTTGGGCTGCCATGGTTTGTCGGTAAGCGCAGAATTGGTGCTCTGTCAGATAATCAGAAAGTGTTTGTTGACCATGTGCGGCAGCTACCAACGCGAGAGGAGAGACTGAGGGGTACTGGGGCGTCGATCACATGGGTCAGCTATGTGACCATTTGGGTCTGGAGAGGCCGTCTAGTAAGGAATGGCGCTCATTGCTGTAAGAAAAGGTTTACCATCGGCCGACACGACCACGCATACAGTCCCGGATTATGTATTCCACGACGAATTCCAGCCGAGCACAGCTACTGTCTCCCATTGACTATGCTAGCTGTAACGAGATGCTCGTGACAATTTCAGAGCTGACAGGGGCTATGGTATTGGGGATTCGCGCTCCTTTCACTTTAAACTGCTGTCTCTAGGCCACCACCTGGTAACATCAGGGTTGACACAGCAACGAAATCTCAGTGGGCCATAATTACGCCTTCCTGGCTTGGCCCTGCGCAATATACAAGTGTGAGTCCTCCGCTTGAGCGCGAGTTGTCGTTGAAGTTTCGTTCTCTACTCGTCATTCATCCTACGTCAGAAAGCACAGGTCTCCATGTGATTTTTCCTCTGGTGCACTTGCAAGTCTGCCCCACAAGCTTTATCTGCCGCCCTCAGTTCTCCTCCCCGTCTTTACTGTCGCCTGTATTCAGTTCCTCGGCTGCAGATCCAGTCTACTGAAGAAATGGATTACTACCGACAAAATGAACTCCCCGAGACGGTCAAGCGTTACAAGACCTACACCGACCAATTCCAAGCGTGGTTGCTCCAGACAGCCTTCCAACGTGGCGTGGAGATTGCAAATGTGGTTGCAGACCAGGCTAAGAAGAAAAAGAACAAGAAGGGCTACAGAATACCGCTACAAAAACAGGAGCAGCTCGTCAACGCCATAGCCGCTACGAGCATTCCGCTCGCGGACACCAGTGGTATCGACGACCTGGGAGACGCTATCCGGTCAAGGAAGGAGGTAACGCAATATCACAAACACAATAACACGGCGGACCTGGGTCATGAATACTTCAATGGCAGCTTAGAAGCGCTCATGGCGGTGCTGAAGGATCTTGTCCCCGGTATCAATAAGGCTCGAAACGGCAAGACTGACACGCCTACCCTTGTCTTCATCCAGTTTCCCGCCGAGTCCAACAAAAGCCAAGACGAACAGGACGATTTACTTGAGAAGATGCGGAAGCGGGACCAGGTTGACATGGATGATGGCAGCCAGCAGCAGCAGCCTCTGACTTCCAAGACGAAGACGAAGGCGCCGATACCAGAGGAGAACCTGCTGACTGCAGAGGAGGAACAGTTGCGCCGTGACTTTCTTGTACTCTGCTTCCTCTACAAGTTCAACCGCATACGGGCTGTCATCTACGAGGTGTGGGTCGCTTACCATGAGGGCCATGTCAATGCGATGACCGCAGCGCTAGTGACCGACCTCGCCCAGGGTAAGTGTCTCTGTACAAATTGCATGTGAAGTAGATACTGACTTCGTCCACCTGCGTTTAGATCATTTGCACCAGAACGTCAAGGCACTGATGGAGGAGCTCGATTTGCTACCAGGAGACCTGGCCATACTCATCCGTCAGCTTTTCGATACGATCAAAGCAGCTCCCAACACTGGAGCACAGAACGCAGCAACACCGCTCACTGAAAAGGCACTGCGTCACCTGTTTTGTCTGGATGATGCTGCCGTCTTGATCAAGAGCTACGTCACGAATAAGCGCCCGATGAAGGACAGTATTGGCAACGACATCCAGGAGCACCCTCTCATGATATTCTTGAGGTTCTTCGACGTTATTCGCAAGGGCAACCTCAAGCTTCCAAAGTGGGATCACTTTACCGCAGAGATGCTGTTGCATCAGAGTACATCACAAGACTACCTACCCTTCGGCCTTGCCATTGTTCTCGACATCCAAGAGGCAGTGCGCGACGACTGTCGTCGGATGCTACGCGACCTCACCGAGCACGGCTTAGACATCGCCAGATGTATCCGTTGTCATGTCGACTACGAAGACCGCATGTGGGCCAAGGGAACAAAGCCTGACTACATGTGCAAAGAAGAGATCAAGTTCAGTACCCTCCTGTTGAAGCCTCTAGACAGGCTGTTGGACTGGCTGCAAGATGTTCTGAATTCGCGAGAAGTGCCGATGGCTGCTAGCGTCTTCATCACCGTTCATTCGACGCTCGCGGGACTTTCAATGTGGCACTACAACCAGATCTACCACCATACTACCATTGCCAAGATACAGTGGTTCATCAATGGCCTCGCTCACCTCTACAACGCCGCCTGCCAAATCGGCGGTCTGAACATCCAGTGGCCAGACCTCGACTATCTGATCAAGATGCATGGGTAAGATTTTCAGCGTATGAACTACATGTGAGACACGCACTGATTCTGTGCTCAACGCTTAGGACAAGAGCTTTGTTTCACGGCGATCCACCGACCCACCCTAACGACTTTCTCAATCGCTATCTCCTCTCGGGTAGCACCAGTAGCCGCGCTATGGCCACGGACTTCCGCCACAGTTCCAGGTACCTCCCTCGGGTGCCGAAACAAGTTGGAGTGAAACGCGGTTTACGGAGTGATTTGCCATTGGAGGCTAAGATTTCCGATTACTATGGCCCGAACCCGGACAATAACCGTTGGTTGAGGCGTCATGCAGTCTTCAACCATCTCTACCGACGGAAAGAGGCTGTTGGAGGCGCATCAGACGATGACTGCAAACAGGCTAGACGGATCTCAGAGGACTTGCGAGGCACGTTTGCCGATCTAGCAACCAAGATCACGCCCTCGAAGCCAAGGCGAAAAGGCAAGGACAAGGCCAGGGTACGCAAACCCGATTTCGACAAGCAGGACGAGACACACGCCAAGCTGCTAGGTACCATGAGGTCAGAACTGCAGGAGAACGAAGTACACAGTAACTTTGACTTCCTCTCCTTCTATCGTCGCGCCTTCGGCCTCGTTCTACGCCTTCGCGAGGAAGTTCTCATGAGCGACGATGTACGGCGCTCCCGGGCTGAAGACATCAATGCAAATCCCGAGCCCCACAATTTCCAACTGATAACAGATCTCTTCCGCGATCTTCGAATTGAGCCCAAGACTAAGAAAGAAGAAGAGGCCGAAGCGAAGGAGGGTGCTGGACAGCAGCTCTCAGCCAAAGTCGTACCGTTGAAGCAGATTCGACGTGTCGCTGAGATGATGCATGACTTGACCCTTGCCAAGGGTGATGTGGAGTTGAGGCGCGCCAAGTTACGGGTCAAGGGGGATTGGGAGGGTCTCAAGGCTTCGTATGCTGCTGAAGAAGCTGAGAAAGAGGCTTCTGGTGTCGAAGAGAGCGTTCCACAGGCAGAATCCGAAGACGAAGTGGTGACTGAGGTTTCCGATGCTTTAGATGGCCTTGCGCCTCCGCTGAGCATCGTCAACGGCACCAAGCGCACGTTCGAGGCAGATCGAGACTCAGAAGATGGTGGGACGTATACGCTGGGGTCTCAGATCTTGGGACAAAAGCATACACAGTGCGACACGAAAAACTGGTCAGACGAGCCTGATAGTCTAGAAGTCCTTGATGTCGCTATCGATACCCAGGATATGGAGGCCCTGTCACGCTTCGAGGACAAGAGAAATGACATCAGGCGCAAATACGAAGCGGACGTTGACTCCGCGAACCGCCCAGTTCACTTGCTCAACTCAGGCGGTTGGAACGGCGCATGTGTAGAAGTCGCTGCGGACGAACACATCCCCACTTCCATTGCGCCCGAAGCAGACCAGCGCCATTCCTTGGGCTCGCAAATCAGTCAGGTCATGGGCACTGCTGCCGCAATCTCACTCGCAGCACCCATCAACGATGACAACAAACACAGCGGCACAAGATCTATAGGGTGCGTTTCATTAGCTACGGCGACCAGGAACAAGCCAAAAGGAATATACCACCGCATCACATATTCCAGCACTACGTCTCGCAAATCCCGTATCACGGCCATCTTTCCTTCGTCATCGTCTAGGAACACCAAGCTTCTAGCGCTAACCCAGCCGCGAAAGGCCTCATTCCACCGTCTCTCTGGTACCGCTAGGAAGCATCGCATCACCTTTCACTGCTACACGCGATGCGCTATGGCTCGTGCCCTACATGGCCAGCAGACTCGTCTGCAGCGACGAATGGCGATTGCCATTGCGGAGCTGAGGAAGAAGGTCAGGAGGGATTCGGCCGGTAAGTTTTGACGGTATGAAGTGCATTTGAGACATATACTGACTTCGTACCTCCACCTCTGCAGAGTTGGAAAGAGTCAGGTCGAGCGTTAGGGATATGGAAATTGGCAGGGTTTGGGAGACGGAGAGTGATGTGAGTTTGGACTGAGGGGGAAGGAGAGTGCTTGGTAAAGAGGGATCCACGAACAACGAGTTGCGGTCGCGTAGATTCGTACTTTTGAGTAAGCATAGCATAGCAGTGCGATGTGATGCCAGCTAGGACGTCCAGACAATGGCACAAATTCTCTTCACAAACGGTCTATAAACAGATTTCTAACGGCCGTTACGCTTTTAGTGACGCCCCATCAGCCCGGTTTCTTTTACAGTCTGACCCACATCACGCCATACTCATCCCTCAAACATCTTCGTAGTACTAACGTTAATCCGACTCCACGCCTTCCCTGTCCTCAACGCCTCCAGAAACTTCGCAGGCCAATAGATATGATACAAAACGAAAAGGGGCAGAGGGTCTTCGAACAAATACGTCCCATCCTTCCAACCGACAACATGACTCCAAAATGTCGCCAAGTCATTAAAAGCAGCCTGGAAGGTCGCGACGCCGAAAAGTAAATCAAGAAGCGGCAGGACAACAAAAGACACCAAGTCATGGCCGATCCAGTAGTAGCTGTATGTCGGGGAGCGAGGGAAAACAGGACCAATCTTGTGTTTCGATGACAAGGGGTTAGGGCTGTTGAAAATGGAGAGGTAAGCTTCTGCCATTTCGGGAGTTTGCTCAAAGAGCACGACGGCCGTGTGGGCGCGCGGGTTGGATTCAATAGGGTAGAACTTGGCGGCTGCGCCTTTATCGTCGTTCTCGACTAGGAAGTCGAAGCTTAGGTGGCCGGTGAAGCTTTCGCCGCCGTCCTTGCACACGCGCTCGGTAAAGCCAAGCATCTTCTTGCTGAGGGGCGACGAGGCAGGCAGCGGCTCGTAGTGCATGAGGAGTTCTAGGCTGGGACAGCTGGTGAAGGCTTTTACTTTTCCACGGATGACGAGGGCGTGCGTACAGTATTCGCTTCCTTTGATGAATTGCTGGAGCTGGAACGGGTTCTCTTTGGTGATGTTGAGCGAGTGGATGTATTGGGCTGTGGCGTCTGGGCTATTGAATGGCAGCAGCGTCATCATGTTGTTCCTGGCCTTGTCGTCCACACCGATGGGTTTCATGATGAACTGTCGTCTTGGTACCGTTCTTCCTGATTTCGTTGGCGTTCTGTGCAGCTCACCCATGAGCACATCGAGCGCTTCATGTGGGTTGGTGCAGCGGTGCGATTCCGGGATTGGGAGACCAAGCGACTCGATGTAGTCGATGAACTTGTCCTTTTCATGGAACTTTTCGACAACGTCTTCCCGGAACTGGATGGCTTCGAAATGGCGGCCTTGTTCTCTTGCTTGCTTCTCTGCTAGGCGGACGACTTGGCCATCTTCTACGGCTGCGACAACGCTGGAGCAACTGATCCATAGGTCCACTTTCTCGCGTTGGATGATCGAGAGAATGGAGTCAATATATGGCTCTGCATCGTCGCCACTCGGTGTGTCCAGACAGTAGTACTTCGCAATAGCGCTGGAGAAGCGACCTGGCGATAAAGAAGAGATGTCGGCGCCAACGATGCGATGCGGTGTATGCTGCGACAGATTGCGCGCAATCGTCAGACCTTTGGTCATGGACACTCCAGTGACGAGGATAGTTTTCCGTCTTCGTGCCGCCGCCACATGCTGCTTATCCTCGGTCGAAAAGGTTGCGTTGTGCTGCCCATGGAGTCGCGACACTGCAAGACCAAGCAACACCAGCGCTGCCGACACAGGCGCGCAAACAGCGCTCAGAGCCAGTAGAAGCACATTCTTCCACACATGGCTATAGTAAAACGGCACCACGGCATCCTTCTTTCCCTCTGCCATGTCTTCGCCGTTGCTGTTGATGGAAGAGAGGTGCTCGTGACCTCGGCACTTGTTCTCGCACAGTCTTCACCGTTCAGACGTTTCCCAACACACCACCAACGGCGTTACCTTATCAAAAAAAGGACCGAGAGAGGTCTCAACTATGCCCTTGCAAAAGCCTGCAAGCTGCGCTGCACTGCAATGCGGGCTGCAAGTAAGTAGGAATTAGCGGTGCAGACGGACGGCTCGTAGTCACGCAATGCGTTCATGCATAGGCGAGGTGATTGATGTGCGTGCGGCTACGTTCGCCCAGACAAAGCTGTTGGCCTGAGAAGGCTGGCTTTGCTCGCTAGTCTAGACGTCATCGTTACTTCACTCATGTACGACATTGTGGAACCCTAGACTCCATCCTGTCTGCGATCTGGTCGTAGTAGATCCTGTTTGCGATCTGGCCGCGATCGGCGGATGGGGGTTGAGGGGTTTGGGCGGCGGATGCAGGGTTCATGGTTATTTCCTCGACCGCGACGTGTCATGCCGTGGTCACAACATCACCACAGTCTGTCAATGTTGGCCTCGCAGAGATGCTTCGCGGAATTTATGAAACAATAGATTCATCTGTTAATGCCGTTTATTTTTGCAAGCATTGAGGCATTGCTGGCACCTGTAGTGCTGGCTGCAGCCGGGTACCGTCGCCGCGCCGAGACGCTCAGGACCCACCAGCACTGAAACTCGCGATTCATAAGATTACAACGCGTCATGTACCAAGTTATGATGCCTTCTTCTAGCCAACGCATCGTGTGATTTCGATGCCGTCCTGTGCTCGTCAGTAAATGCGCGTGAGAGACGGCCGGCGCTCCAACTCACAGGTACGCCCGTGGGCTCGTAGCTGTTTACCAGCTTGCTCTCGTACTTGAGATTCGGGTTGCCTTTGCTCTCGCTGAACTTGGCCTTGCCGTATCTCTTCTCGTACATCTTGACGTTCGTCTCAGCAATGCCGCTGAGGTTTGTCTGACCACCCTCTCCAGCCTCCTTGACCTTCTCCTCAACGCTCGACCTGACATACTTCAAGTACGGCGGATTTCCGGGCTTGATGACATTGTCTGCTGCCAGCACGGAGCCTTTTGTGACCAGGCCAAGCTCCTCGCAGAGCTTCAGATCTGTTGTGTAGGCAGGCTTGTAGTGGTCCAGGAACATGAGATCGACTTGCTTCAGTTGGCCCGATGCTGCCAGCCGTGCAATGCCTTCGTCGCTTGAGCCCACAATCACCTTTACAAGGTCGGTGAGGCCTGCAAGGTCGACCAAAGACATGATGACAGCCGCAAAGGCGGGATCGCGCTCGAAGCTGAAGTATCGCTCGCCGCCTGCTTTTCGTACAGCATCTGCGAAAAGAATACATGAATAGCCTACGTAGCCGCCGAGCTCGACCTACGTGCTGTTAGGGGTGTAATTCGAGTGCAGGGACATTCATACCATGGTTTTTGGCTTTACTTCCGCGATCAAGTCCGTGACAATGCGGCCCTTGTCCTCTCCCACATTCATGAGATACTTCTTTGTGCGTCCATACTCGTCAATGGCTGCCAGAACATGTTCTGGTGATCCTCGTATCTTCTCGATGTTGGGATGTGAATAGACGAAGTGCAGGAGCTCGATTTCGCGCCCATCGTCGAAAAACGCACCCTCCTCCTCTTGCGCTGCATATGCTTTGCTTTGATCAAAGCTGCCCATTGTTGCTGTTGTTCAATGGCAATCTGAAATTGTGCGGACAGTCGTAAGCTCGACGCGTCCGAGCTACCACAGTTGCCCCTCAACGCGTCCGGTCTAGTGCGGGGCTGTGATCAGTAATGACGAAATACATGCAGGAACATGTACGAGTGGCGCTTAGTCCATTCGACTGCTTTAGCACCCAATCTGCCTCCGTGGAGGCGTCTAGATGTCACTCCTTATGTTAGCACATTAGCAATTGACATCGCGCAAATTGCTTTTCCTGCAAAACCCCATTATTGAGGGTGGGATGCCAATGTAGGTGTGACGCCGTATCCTGCCTTTTCCATGCCACACTCCCGTGTACGCGTCAAAGCGCCCTTGGCACCGGTTGAGGCGAGTTCGCACTATGCCATGCGGATACGCGACGCTCATGTGGGGCGGTTCATTGGTGCATACACGGTCCTGTATAGTGTTGACGTTGAGTTGGGTGTGGCTGTCGTCAACGATCTAGAGCACGCTGTGTCCGCTAACCGACTACGGAGCCACAAGGACTTGCCATGACAACGTACGCTTACCTCTACCAGGCAATATACCTCAACGATCCTGGATCCGCCAAACTCTATCTACCCGAAGCGGGAACTAGAATCGAAAAGATCTCGCTGAATGTCACAATTTTCCAGCTTGTCCCTGGACTGAGGGGTAAGAAAGTGCCGCTGTATGGCTACCGGTAGCGCACTATCAGCCCTGCGCACACACTGCACCTCTTCTGACTCGCTGGCAAATGAGGACTCTGTCACCATCTGCCACAGAGCGTCAGCAATCGAACGATGTGAATCCTGAAGTGGATATGAGGTGATTTCGATGGCTGCCCCGCAGTTGTATGTAGTGTATCTCATTCACTCCACCACGGGAGAGACTCCGTTGTTGGCACTAGATGGGTTCGCGGCTTGTGCTACGCCGAGTTCGTCCTTGGCCGAAGGCAAGTAGGATGGTTCTGCTGTGCCCAAGCCCGCAAAAACCCATGTTGCATGAGTAAAGTGCATATCCCATGTGCCGGAACCGGGTTTTACCGCTGGGAGGGCAATGTTGTTGAAGTCATTTCATCATGGCTGGCCAGTAGGAGCCTAGTTTGGCTCGAAGTGAAGTGGCACCAAGTCCAAACAACAAGGGATCCACGAGTGGCCGCATCATGAACGAGAATAATGCGTATGGTTGACGTTGTCTGGAGCACTGCCGACCTTTGAGAGCCAATGGAGGCAGAGCGTGTACCGCGAGCTATGTGAGTAGTCCCAGACGATATCGGTCTGTCGCCATTTATATAGAGCAGTCCTGCGTACACTGACCCCGCAGAACTCAACGTATCTCATTCACACCTTTTCCACCTCTTTTCACCATGTCAGACCTCAAAGCTTCCGTTGTCGAGACCCAAAACGGCTTCCACGTCGAGGGATACGAGAAGATCGAATATGACTTCACCTTCCTCGATGGCGTCTTCAACCCTGCCAACAACAACCTAGCCAAGTGCTACGAGCGTTGGGGCCGCTGCCTGGCTGTCATGGATCTTAACATCTACAACGTCTATGGCGATGAGATGCAAAAGTACTTCGACCACTACAACCTGCCCCTGACGATCCACAAGACCATGATCGGCGAAAAGGCCAAGTCCATGGAGACTCTCCTGAGCATTGTTGACTCGATGACCGACTTTGGCATCATCCGAAAGGAGCCCGTACTTGTCGTGGTATGTTCTCCACCCCGAATGACGTGTTGCAGAATGCTGACCTATCGCAGGGTGGTGGTTTGGTGACTGACGTTGCTGGGTAAAAAATAGCTCTAAGGCACTCTGGCCTGACTGCGCTGTAGGAATGGAGTTAACTCGTGACCTAGATTTGCTTGCGCGGCATACCGAAGAAATACCAACTTCATCCGTATCCCAACTACCGTCATTGGCCTGATCGATGCCAGTGTCAGCATCAAGGTCGCCGTCAACTACGGCAACTACAAGAACCGTCTCGGAGCGTACCACGCCCCGATGCACACATTCCTCGACTTCTCCTTCTTGAAGACCCTGCCAGAGGGCCAAGTACGAAACGGTTTCGCAGAGTTGATCAAGATTTCGACCTGCGCCCACAAGCCAACATTTGACCTGCTGGACAAGTACTGCGAGAAGCTAATCACTTCTCGGTTCGGTCGTGAGGGCAACGACAAGGAGGTTCTCCAGGCAGCGGATGAGATCAACCGTGCTGGTATCCACGAGATGTTGAAGCTCGAGACGCCCAACCTCCACGAGATCGGTCTCGACCGTGTCATTGCCTACGGCCACACCTGGAGTCCGCTCCACGAAGTAATGTTACCGCACCCTAAGCACGTTGCCTTTGCTGACTCTTCCGAAGCTTTCACCCAAGGTTCCGCTCCGTCACGGACATGCCATCTCCATCGACATGGCCTATTCGGCGACATTGGCAAACCAGCGCGGTCTCCTCAGCGACGAGGAGCACAGGAGGCTGTTGAACCTGTTCTCCAGGGCTGGTCTGTCCATGGACCACGAGCTGTTCGACGAGGACATGCTCGACAAGGCCACCAAGGCTATCCTGAAGACTCGTGACGGTCTGCTCCGTGCTGCCGTGCCCAACCCTATCGGTACCTGCGTGTTCCTGAACGACGTCTCTCCCGAGGAGATGAACAAGGCTCTGCGACGACACAAGGAGCTGATGAAGGAGTACCCCCGCGAGGGCGCCGGTCTCGACGCCTTTGTCGATGCCTCCGACACTGGATATACCATGAACGACAAGCCCATCGAGGATGCTATGCACGAGTCGAAGAAGACCATGAACGGCATGAGCAACGGCGCGGTCAACGGTACTGCCAAGGGCCAGGCGAACGGTCCTCCCCAGGGTCTCCAGGAGGTCATGGCCAACGGGTACGAGAACGGATACAAGAACTAGGCGCGACATAGCTGCGAATAAGTCCGACTAGGCAAGCGCATGTCCGACGGTTGCGATGACTAGAATGTGAAAGCGGTTGTTTGAAGCGGCGGCACTGTCTCCAGGCCGCAGTGGTGGATCGCGACATGCTTCAAGCTCATCAGCTTCCCCAAAATCAAAAAAACAATTCACTCTACACAATACTCTATGACCTTTGACTCCGTGAAACATGTTGTGGCCCGTGGGACGGGTGAGTGCGCGGCGGTGTCGATGTGTGCAGTCGAATGAAGTGGGCACTGAAGATACGTTACGCGGTTCTCGATTGAGTGTTGCGGTTGCGCCATGGTCTTTTCTGCAGCATCATGCCGTCGCCAGTGTTGGTGTTGGTGGGCCGCACGCCTCGTCGCCCTCGTCGCTGTTGCCGCTCCATCGCACGGTGGTGCCCGTGCCCGGAAAACCCTTCTGCCCGTGCACCGGCTTGGCGCCCCCACACGTCAGTATAAAAACTCTGCGCCCCTCGTCCTCCTTTGTCGCTCCTTGATCAAAAAATACAAACGATCCCAGCCACGACTATCAGAACATCTCTGTCTTTTAGTTGCCAGTCACTACGGTGGCGTGGGATCGGAGAGCGATACTCCTGTAGGAAGCTGCTTTCTCGTTGGGTCGTCTTCAGTGATGGCGATGAGTCTGCGGTGTCGATTTATTTGGAGGACATACCTATGTCTCGTGCATGCGTTGCCGTGAGTGTGATGTACTTGTTAGTTTGTCATGGTTGCTCTGACTCGTTGCTTCCATGGCTCGTCGTCGTCGGATTCATGACCTTTGGCCCTATGGCATCGTGCACGGAGTTGGCGAAGAGGTCTGCAAGGTTCAGAAGCAAGAAAGAGACAGAGCACGACACGGCAGTCATTAATGTCAATTGACTATTTGTCGTTATTATCTATCATGCCCGAGTGTCATGATCGTAATGGCACCCGTTTGCTGTGCATAAATCATCTGGTAGAATGGTCTAGCCTCGGCTGACCCATGGCCTTCTATGGGATCGCAACCTTTACGTCGTCTTCGTACTCCACGTCTTTGATGCCATCCTTTGTTATGACCTTGACCAGTACGCCCTTGAAATCGATCGGAAGACGTCGCTTCAGCTCCTCGGTGCACATACGCAGGATCTTCATGCCTTGTTCGTAGTCGATGTCAGGATGGTGATGCTTGTCGAGCAGAGAGAGGCAGTAGTACCTGGCAGTACCGTGTTAGCATGGGCCTGAATGTGCGGGAGGTGCTGCATTGGAGAGGGCAGCGGATGGGACGTACTGTGCGTATCCATGTGCGGCGTATGGGAGCGGTGCTTGACTCGCCAAGTAGTCGATCCAGTAGAGAGTTGGCTTGTCGGCAATCGTGTCGTATCCACCCAGGAGCAAGTTGACCGTGTATGGTTTTCTTGATCGCAGCGCCGACGCCAGTTCTCCTCGGACGAAGTTGGCAGTTGCAGCGGGTGACAGCTCCATGTTGTTGCGCATCGAGTATAATTGTACGTTTGCCTGGATGTATTCGGCGAATTGGACTGCACCACCGTCAGCTACCGCTAGTCGCCGTGGCCGCTCCTGTCATACCCGTATCGCCGGCTTCTCCAGAGAAGGCCATCAGCGTGTGTGTGTTGAGTACTCGGGTCTTGTCGTCGGACGCCTTGAGGATGGTGGCGCCACGCATGGCGGCTTTGGAGGCGGCGATGAGGGTGAAGTCCTTGCCGGTGATTCCTAGCAAGACCTCCCTGTGCAACAATCAGTATCCAGATAGCGCGTCTTGTGAACGACGTACATGGTGATGAGCTTGGGGTGGTGGCTGTGGGGAGGGAAGGCGACTGTCGTCGGGCGTGGACAGGCGGGCGGGGAGGCGTAAGATCAGGCAAATTCAGCGTCCGGATTCACGGTCGTGGTGGTTCAGCGGCAGGGACCGTTTGGTGTGGCTATGGCTGTGGTGGTGTTGACGCCGCACGTGAAGGCAGCTCTCAGCGTCGCGGCTGCCGTACACATGAAGCTTGGGCCAGCGTGGCCTTGGCAGGACTGGACTCGTCGTGCACCCGCTGTGCCCACATGTCGC